AGAGTTTGTTGACATGTTAATGCATGATGCAGCTTTATTCTTTTCCTTTCTTGTTTGTCTTCAAGATTAGATTTTTTAACAACAGAGTTTATAATGCCTTGCTGTTCAGCCTTCAGCTCGACTTTCTGTCAGCGCCCCCTTTTGGTTTTCTTTCACTCTGACAGGACAGATGCTTCCGGGGGCCAGAGCGGGCGACGTTGAGGCGCATCTTAAACTGCTGGCTAAAAATAAACGCAAATACAGTAGGATTGTTATTCACGTCGGTGGTAATGATGTTCAATCGGAATGCACCAAACTTAATGTGGAGTCGGTGTGTAGATATGCTAAAACAATGTCGGACATCGTAATCTTCTCTGGTCCCCTCCCCAATCTGCAATGATGACATGTATAGCCGCATGTCATCATTTCAGCGCTGGTTGTCTTGGTGATGCCCAGCAAACAATGTGGGCTTCGTAAATAATTGGACACCCTTCTGGGGAAAACCTGGTCTGATTAAGAGAGACGGCATTCATCCTACTTTGGAAGGTGCAAATCTCATTTCGGCAAACATTTCGGCTTTGTGGACTTAATCCATGACAAACTAGAGTTGAGACCAGGAGGCGGAGTCGCAGTCTTACACGCTTCTCTGCGCTCTCTCCTAGGCAGTCATCCATAAGAATCCCGAACCCAATAAAATACCCAATATTAACGGTGTGTGTGTCTGCCCAAGGACAATTTAAGGTAAAACCTAATAGAGGTGTCATACATAATAACCTAATAAAAGTAAATGTAACAACTACTACAGTGCAACAAAACAGGAAGATTAAATGTGGTCTCTTAAACATAAGATCTCTAGCATCTAAAGCAATATTGGTAAATGATTTAATATCAGATTATAATATTGATATATGCTGTCTCACTGAAACTTGGTTGAGACATGAAGAATATGTCAGCATAAGGCCACTCCACCCAGCCATATCAATACTCATATTGCCCGAGGCACGGGCCGAGGAGGTGGAGTTGCAGCAATCTTTGACTCAAGTTTACTTATCAATACTAAACAAAAATTAAATTATACCTCCTTTGAAAGCCTCGTTNGTAGACAACTCCCGAGCAGCAGGGAGACTGGGTGACTGTTTAGAAGGGGCTCTGTTAGATACGTGAACGGGTTGGTGGGGACCTGCGGGTTTCGCGTTATGCCCCTTCTAAACAGTCACCCAGTCTCCCTGCTGCTCGGGAGTTGTCTACCTTTTGCCGGTCCGCACCGACTAAGATGGGTTTTACTGTAGCTGAGTTACTTTCTAAGATGCGAAGCCGGGCTTCTATGGCTGTGATTCCCGCATAGAAACAACTTGTTAGATAGAAGCAGTGAATGTTCAGGCTGTTGATGGTTTCAGATGTCGGACTGAGAAAACAGACGGGGGGCTCAGCCTGATGAATTGCCGCTGACTGCTGACCTCCGTGTGTTTTGGAAATATTTGCCTGGCAGACAAACAATGGTTGGGACACGGCCAGGCTGGAGGCTGCCAAACTTGCACCCCCACCACCCCTACCACCCCTTCTCCACCCCCCCTCCCGCTTCTCCATCAGTCTCCGACGCAGCGGGGCCAGTGCACACATCCTGCCTTTGTGGGCCAGGAATCCTAAGAATCCAGATTGCTGCCCAACAAGGTAGGTGCTCCCCCCAGTCTGCTGTCCGACCCATTCATCCACCGTGATTATATATGGTTTCTCTATATGGAACTGCATTACTCCAACACTTTATAGCACCTAAAACATACTATAATCAATATTCTACAAATCAAATCATAAAGTGTGATGAACACATATAACTATTTTACAACTAGGTTCCCTCCCTAGCTCTCTGGAGTATTTCAGCAGCTATTTTATACAAGACAGCAAACAGACTTGTTAGTGAACGTAGGGGAACAATTATCCTTATTAGCCATTTATTTCCAAAGGGAAGTAAATTGCTAATAAGGATAAATGTACACCAAATACAGAGCTAAAGGGTCAGTGAGTAATGGACCTGAATCAGATGGCCAGATAAATGCCGGTAAGCAGCCATTAGAAGTTTTCCAAATGAATCTCAAAAGTGTGAATATGTTGTGTTCAGCGATGGGTTTCAAAAGCAGTGTCTGCAGTTTGAAAGAGAAACTTCACAGCAGCTTCTGTTCTATTTCCTGCACTCAGCTGGCTACACTGAGGTGGCCGAGTCCTCGAAGGGCGTGTCAGTGAAATCACTGCAGGGGGGGGGCAGGGGCACTGCTACAGCCCAGAGCATTGATGCAGCTCTTCAGCTATTGCATATACCTGTAGCACACAGCTGTACATCTTATATATTTCTATATAATTGAACTGTTGGGAGTTTGAGCATTCATATTCCTTTGACAACTTGGAACCATGTTGTACTACAGTGTTTCCTGATCAAAGGTCCTTACTTCTTCTGTAATTATGCTATGAGTAATCCCTGCATCATATTCATGATATTTTGTAACTATGATATATACATGTATAAGTTACTTTTGTTTCGACAGATCTGTTGTATTGTCAACAGACTGTGAAGGATGCGCCATGTTTTTCAGGGAGACCTTCAGCAGCCTTATCAAATGTGCCAAATTACATTTCCCATGTTTCACAACAGCACAAGCCAACGCTTAATGTGCAGACCTTCCTGCTCTCCAACAAAACACTTTTTACGGGCTCCTAGGATGACAATGGGAATGCCGTTTTTCCTACCAATCATGGGAACCTGAGGACAGGCCTGTATTTCCTGGAATGCGGCCCATTCGGAAAGAGATGGAGGGAACACAGGATGTCCTGAGCACGGTGTCCCACAGCAGCAGGGAGGACAGAGTGGAAGACTTGTTCACAGGAACATCACCACTTCCTCTGGTAAACACTCCAACATCACGGAGTGGGATTCCCCACCTGAAAGCTGCTTTCCATTACTACTGTCCTAGGTTCTCAAAGCCTGACGTACATTTTGCCAGTCCACAATAACAACGTGATCTGAGGATACTCTGTCAGGACTTCATACCAACAAACAGCAGCACCTCCCTCTGGACACTCCAGCTTTCTTGAAGGGGAGAGTCAGTGATATCACAGCGGGGGCGGGGGCATGTGTGTCTATAAGTAGTTAGAGAACGCGCTCTGTGAGTAGAGCTGAGCTGACCTGTGCCAAACAGCAGCACACTGTCGAGCAGACGGGTGTACCTCTGGTGCACAGACTACACACTGTGGATACATTTCATCCTGGAGCTCACAAAGCAAACGTCCTTCTCTCTGGACTTTGGACGGTCGACCTGAACATCTTCTAACTTCTACAGTTCTTTATACCTTTGGAAGGTTCTACCTTTTTGTCCCTGTATTCAGGATGCTCAGCGCTGTGACCCTGCAGCAGATCCTCTCCAGCCTGTTTGTGCTGGGCAGCGCTGCAGTGATGGTGAGCATCTGCCATGTGGCTTTGATTTCTCTATTCTCTTTAATCATTTCTCTGTGTGAAATTTAATTTAATTTAGTCATTATATTTAATATTAATTGATGTAAGAATATTAATTGATGTAAGACATTTATTTGGGTTCAGTCATATGTTTTGACAAATATACTTTTTAAATGAATTCTAAGTTCCTGCTTTATTTGCTAAATTCTGACTCTATTGTCAGAACTCTAATACATTTTCACATGGCACCATCATCTATATTGGATGAATTGTCCTATTATATTTGTTGAAGCACACCCTCACCTTGTCTCACATGCTGACCTCTGACCTGCTCCACAGGCAGACAGTGGGTGTCCCGCTCAGTGCTCCTGCCCCCCTTCGCCCCAGCCCTGCCCGGCGGGCATCAGTTGGGTGAGTGACCGCTGTGGCTGCTGTAAGGTCTGCGCTCAGCAGTTCAATGAGGACTGCAGTGCCACCCAACCCTGCGATCACATCAAGGGGCTGCGCTGCCACCTGGGGGCCGGAGGAGACCCGGAGAGGGGGCTGTGTCGAGGTGAGTGGGGGCACATTGTTAAGCTATAGTCCAAAAATTGCTGTTAACTGTGTACCGATGAAGATGTTATTGTGAGTAAATATACATTCTCAGCCCCGCCACCTATACTTAGGCCACGCCCTCATCCATAACTCCTGTCCCTTGAACTTGTGTGAGGTCCTACGCACTCAGCAGAGGTTTCTGAGGTTGGGTGCTACAGGAGAAGTACATTTAGAACCAAATTGAAACAGGAAATAGTAACATTTGTATTGACATTTATAACAATTCTAAACATTGAAATGTTTCACCTGAAGATGAGAGACAGCAGAGACGATTATCCCACAGAAAATCACTGACAAAACCAGAAAAAACATGTTGCTTTTTCGTTCTATAAAGTCAAAGGGTTCTCCTCTCAACTGTGTTTCCTGTTCCTGTTTTTGCTTGTGTGTGTTGACAGCGGAGGCCCAGGGTTTGCCCTGTGAGTTTGGGGGCCGGGTATACCAGCATGGAGAGGACTTCCAGCCCAGCTGCGAGCACCAGTGCACCTGCATGGACCGGGTGGTGGGCTGCATGCCCCTCTGCCCCCCCCAGGTGCCGCTGTCTACCTGGCGCTGTACGCGACCCCGGCTGGTCAGCCCGGAGAGGGGCTGCTGTGAGGAGTGGGTGTGTGACGACAACAACCACATCGATGAGGAGCCAGATGAGCCGACACACACCTGCCTGCCAGACAGACAGCGGCCCCCCAACCACATAAGTGCCCTGCTGCAGGCCCCGCTCCAGCCTTGGCACCGAGCTGCCACTGGGAGGGCAACGTTTAGAGGTAAACATCACAGCAATGCTTCTCCTGATGCCCACATCTAACACTGACCTGGTCTGAAGGAGATGTTTCATGTGGAGGCAGACTGCCTGAACACACCATTTTCTAGAATTCCAAGAAAAACTGGTTTTGAATCCAACTGATTTCAGAGAGATATTAAGCTTAAGACTTCTGACACAAACCTCAGCTTTTTGGGCAAAAGATAGCACCACATAAGGATCATATAATCCGGGAATAACGAACAAACGGATGACAGTTTTGTTTATTGTTTGATTGTACCTCATTGCCTTTGCTATTTGGCTTTCCAACAGAGATGGTGTCTTTTCCCATGTCTGAGGTGTTACCCCAATCCAGCTGTTTCCCACAAACCACAGAGTGGACCGAGTGCTCCACCACATGTGGGATGGGCATCTCGAGCCGAGTGACCAATGACAACCGGGACTGTCAGCTGGTGAGGGAGAGCAGACTGTGTCAGGTCCGGCAATGTGAGCCTCAGCTTCCTGTGGCTAACAAGGTATGCTAAAGAAAAACCCAGGAAGGATGTTGAGCTAAGTGTTTGATTGAACTATCCATCCATCCCATTCTCTTCCCAACACTGTTTATAAAGCTACCCCTGACTTCCTTCTTTGCTCATAACGGCCACTCGAGTTTGCTGTCTAACAACAACAAAAGTAATAGTTGTCATTAGCTGCTTGCACAGACTACCTACAGATCACCTTCTGTTAGTCAAAATGATATTTTGTTTAGGTGAGTCCTTGCTTATTATCGCATTTAACTATAGTCATTCATTTTTAACAGCAGTATGCAATAGCATTGAATTTGGAGACATATTTTTGGGATTCTTGCATCCAACAACACAGAGAGATTACATTTGCAATATGTATCTGTAGCGTTCTCTTTTGCCTTCAGTCTTTGTTTCGCTTCCAACACCTTGACATAATAATGACATCAGAAGAGCGAGCGTAAAGGTTGCTCTGTTTCTTTCATCCAGAAGGGGAAGAAGTGTCAAAGGACTATCCGCCCCCAGGAGCCGGTCAGATTCTCCTTTGCTGGATGCTTCACGATACACCGGTATCGGCTCCGCAGCTGTGGGACATGCAGCGATGGCCGCTGCTGCAGCCCCTCCCTGTCCCGCACCGTGCGGCTGCGCTTCCACTGCCCCGATGTAGAGGGCTTCTACAGGAACGTGATGTGGATCCAGCGCTGCAGCTGCACCACCAGCTGTGGTCCGTACAGCGCTCCCTCCAGCCCGGCAGTCAGCCTCCACAACGACATCCACACCTTCAGCCCGTCAGTCAGCCTCCACAACCACATCCACACCTTCAGGCGCTGAGGCTCCACCCCCCCCCCCCTGGCACGCTGGGAAAAGACATTTCTCCTGCCCCCCTCTACCCAACTCAGCAAAACACTAGCTTGCACTTTAAGCACCCTGCCACAATGACATCAGTTTGTCTACACATGAGGTGTGTTACAACAGTACGCTGTTAGACTGTGGCCAGAGAGCTTTCACTGAAACTCCTTAACTTAATTATTATGTCCTCTCCACAGAGGGTGATGGTTTGTCATATAGACGAGGATCATTAGTGATGTCAAATATGGACATTTGAAATAATGATGAAGAACTGAATGACCAAAGACATGTCCATTATTGACTATAGTGGCTGTGTTCTCTGTTGCCTGTGCTTTGTGTTACAATGTTTCCTGTGTGTGTGTGTGTGTGTGTGTGTGTGTGTGTGTGTGCGTGCGTGCGTGCGTGCGTGCGTGCGTGCGTGCGTGCGTGCGTGCGTGTGTGTGTGCGTGTGTGTGTGTTGTTAACTTTCATGTTAGATTGCTGAGACAGAGATAGATTCAATATATATGTACAGTGGCGCAAAAAAGTATTTAGTCAGCCACCAATTGTGCAAGTTCTCCCACTTAAAAAGATGAGAGAGGCCTGTAATTTTCATCCTAGGTATAACTCAACTATGAGAGAAAATGAGAAAAAAAAAATATCCAGAAAATCACATTGTCTGATTTTTAAAGAATTGATTTGCAAATTATGGTGGAAAATAAGTATTTGGTCAATAACAAAAGTTCATCTCAATACTTTGTTATATACCCTTTGTTGGCAATGACAGAGGTCAAACATTTTCTGTAAGTCTTCACAAGGTTTTCACACACTGTTGCTGATATTCTGGCCCATTCCTCCATGCAGATCTCCTCTAGAGCCGTGATGTTTTGGGGCTGTCGCTGGGCAACACAGACTTTCAACTCCCTCCAAAGATTTTCTATGTGGTTGAGATCTGGAGACTGGCTAGGCCACTCCAGGACCTTGAAATGCTTCTTACGAAGCCACTCCTTCGTTGCCCGGGCGGTGTGTTTGGGATCATTGTCATGCTGAAAGACCCACCCACGTTTCATCTTCAATGCCCTTGCTGATGGAAGGAGGTTGTCACTCAAAAATCTCACGATAGTCGTCCTGGTCCCTTTGCAGAAAAACAGCCCCAAAGTATGATGTTTCCACCTCCATGTTTCACAGTAGGTATGGTGTTCTTTGGATGCAAGTCAGCATTCTTTCTCCTCCAAACACGTCTCGTTGAGTTTTTACCCACCTTTTCGGAATTTAAATATTGACAGGGTTTGTTAGGTAGAAATTACCGTTAGGGTTCCCCCTTTTTTTCTCAAGGGAGTATTTTTTTAAATTTTTGTAAAAAAAAAAAAAAAAGTAGTTAATTCCGGGTTTTTTTTTTTTTTACCCTTTATGATGTTTTTTTTTTTTTTTTAAGTTTTTTTTTGTTTAATTCAAAATTTGAAAAAAGTTCTTAATCACCTTTCGTTTTTTTTTTTTGGTATTCTTTCCTTTTTTACTTAAAATTTTTTTCCCGTAGGTCAAACGGGTGAAAATTTTTCGTTTCTACACGAAATAAGCAACAAATTCGACAAATTTTTTTGACAAACCTTTTAAATTAAAAAGGTTTGCTAATTTTTTTCCCGACAATACTTTTTGTAGAAAAAATCCAAAGTTTCTTTTTTTTACAATACTTCTTTTTCTTAATTTAAAATTTTTTTTTTTGGTCATGCTTTCTACAAAAAAAAGTCGCAATTTTTTTTGGAAAACAAAAAAAAAACGAAAACTAAAAACAATTTTTCTTAACAAAACCACAAAACTGAAACTAAAACAACAAAATTGACCAAAAGGTAAAAACAATGAGTTAAAATAAAAATAGACGAAAGGAAAAGGTAAGGTTAATTAAAAAACAAAAAAAATTTTAAATCCAATCAAATTATTCATAAAATTAGATAAATAAAAAAAAAATTGGAAAATTTCCCCCCCGGTTTTTTTGACTTATTTGGGAAAAAAAAAATGAAATTGTGACATTAATCCGTTTCAATTAAGAAAAAAAAAAAAGTCAAAGAAACAACCAAAAAAAATAAAAAAAACCAAACAAACTTGGTTTTTTACTTTTAAAATTGTAAAAAAATGTAAAAATTTTCCAAGGTTAAAATTGGTTTTTTATGTTTTGAAGAAGGTGACCTTTTTTTTTGTTTTCTCGACCCCGAACCCCAAAAAAAAAACTCCAACCCCCTTAACGCCAAATTTTTTTTTTTTTTTTTTTTTTTTTTTTCCTTTCCAAAAGAGGGTTACAATAAAGGTTTGGTTTCGAAAAATTTTTCTAACGTAAGACAATCACTTTGGGTTTTTTCAAAACAAATTCTTTTTAAGAGTTATTAAAAGAATTCAAGTAAAAAGTTTGACGCTTTTTTAATCGGTTTTTTTCTTCAGTAATCCTTGTGTAAAAGTCCCCAAAACTAAAAAATGCTAAAAATAAAAAAAACTACAAAAAAACCCGGGTCAAACAAATTTTTTTTCCTGTTTTAAACCCTTGCAAACGTAAACTGTTTCAAAGAAAATTTTAATAATTATTTCGTAATTAAAAGTAATTGAATTTTTTTTTTTTCCTTAAAAGGAAATAAACATTTGTTTTCTTTTAAAGTGTGGGGCTTTTTTTTTTTTTTAACTTCCAAACCGTTAGGAACCTTTTAAAATGGTTGGAAGGTGTTTTATTTTTTTTTTTTTCTTCAATATCAGGCATTATAAAACGAAAAATTAGATAATTAAGTATTTTATTTTGTTTCCACCCCTTTTTTTTTTTTTCCATTTTAAATAAAGTTCGGTGGTTTTTAAACAAAAACGTTTCAGACGGGTTGAATTTTTTTTTCCTACCTCTCCTCCGGAAACAAAATTAAAAAAAGTTAAAAAAAGGCATCCATTGAGTTTTGAAATAAAAAACTTCTTCCCTTGGTTTTTTTTAACTTTCTTTTTTTTTTAAATTTTAGGTCTTTTTTAAGTTTTGGTTTTAACAGACTTTTTAAAAAATTTTTCTTTGAAAAATAAAAAAAAACGTTTTACTACCCAAAACCCCTTTTTTTTTTAAAATTTTTCAATTAAAAAAAAAAAGTGGAAAATGTTTTTTTGTTTTTTTGTTTCCTTAAAAGACCGAAAAGAGTGTTTCTTGGAAAAAAAACATTTTTTTTGAAGAAGAAAATTTTTTTTTCTTTCGGGAAAAGGAAAAAGACAGGGAGGTTTGAAACAAATTTTTTGACAACATTAATTTACCGTGGACAAACTTTTGAAGCCAATTTAGTCATAATTTTTTTTTTTCTTGGTTTGGACAAAGGTTTGTTTTTTTGGAAGTTTTGTGCCAAAAGGGTGAAAAGGTTTTTGAGGGGTTGATTACCCGGTTTTTCCTGGGTTTTTTTTTTTTTCATTTTTTCGAAAACAGTTTTTTTTCCTTGTGGGTTCTTTTGTTTTTTTTACAATTTTCCTTGGGAAAAAAAACGTTGGTCCGAACCCCTTTCCCTTGAAACCTCCGGAAACCCCCTTTTCCCCTTGAAAAAACTTTTAGAACGTTTTAAAATCATCGTCGAAACCACACTTTTTTCCTTTTTTAGTTTTTTTTTGGCACCCCCCTTTTTTTTGTTTATTTGAATCTTTTTTTTTCCTTTTTTTTTCCCTGGTAAAAATGTTTTGCTGGTGAAAACTAAAATTTTAGAAGGGAGCTAAAAAAGAACCCCGAAAGGTGCGTTTTTTCTTAAGAGTGGGGCACCCAAAGTTTTTTTACTAAAGTGGTTTTTTTCTTTGGCCACTTTTCCCCCGTTTTAAAATAGGGTTTTCCTTTTTTTGGTGTGCCCCCCTTTTTTGGATCAAAGTTTACTTTTTTGAAAACGTTCCTTCTCGACCCCCTGGTTTTCATTTTTGTTTTTTTTTCCCGATGGGTAAGGTTCATTGGTTTTGTGAATTGCGCGGTCCCCTGAAGGTTTTTTTAGGAACGTTTTTTCAACGGGTTCCTGCACAAAAAAAGGGAAACGAATCGGCTCATATACAGTCCTTGTAGACTTCAAACGGAAACTCTTCGTAAATGCTACTAGTCCTTCCTCCTAATCACTCTTACAGTATAGCCGTCTTACTTGGTTTTATCGTT